CTCTCTCTCTGCCACCGAGTCAATGCTGACTCATAGCAACCCCTGTGGGTTTCTGGGATTGTAATTTTATAAAGCCCAGTCTTTGTCCCCCAAGGAGCAGCTGGTGGTTCCGAACTGCTGATCAGGTGGATCGCAGCCCAAAGCGTAAGCATTACATCACCAGAAGTCCTCTTGCAGCCCCTAGCTAGTACAAACCGGTGGCAGGCAGGCCTTGGCACCCTAATGATGACACAGCTGTATGGATCAGCTCTCTTCCCTGTGAACTGCAGGAACCCTGCTGGCATTGAAATAGGACATTGGGTTTCCACCATGCAGTGTGTAGTATGCTTATCCTAGTAAATGAGCATGGCTAAGTGGGTCCGGGTTACAACTTGATTTCTTCAGTTTGTTACTAAGCGAAAGATGGAACAAATCCTGAATTGCATGCCATGGGGAATACCTGCTCCTCAAAAAAGTTAAATGTGCAAACTGACAATGCTGAGCTGGTAATCATCTAACATAGATAACTAGCTCATTTGCCCAACTTCATCTATTACCCCAACAATGACTTTTTTCCCCTGGTGCATGGCACTTCTTCTCATCCCCATTTCATAAGAGATCCCCACATTATCAGCCTCTTCCTAAAAGGCATTATCTACATGAGTGAGAATGCCTATGTGTTCACTGACAATTGTGTGTTCTCATAAGTACATTTTGTATGTATTTAAATAACACAATTTAATTGGGAAATTTCCTATGCCACTTTTGAGATTGTATTACTTACATCAGAGATCACAAGGGAGTCACTGGCTTAGTAACCAGTTTATCAGATTAAAATGTGTTTTTAATGTATGCTAATTTCAAAGGCTCATATGAGAGTCAGCAGGCTTTGTTGTTGTTAGGTGCAGTAATGTATGCAGTAAAGCTCATTTCTAATTCACAGCCATCCCATGGGACAGAGCAGAGCAGCCACATTGGGTTTTCATGGCTGTAATCTTTATAGAAGCAGATACCAGGCCTTTCTCTTGCAGAGTTTCCAGGGGGGTTCAAACCATCCACCTTTGAGTTTGCAGTTAAGTGCTTAATGGTTGTGCCCCCAACATGCTTTAAAAAACTCAAAACCAAGCTCACTGCTATTGAGTCAATTCCAACTCATATTGACCTTATAGGGCAGAGCAGATCTGAATGTCTGATACTTTACGGGAACGACTTTCGCATCTTTCTCCCCTGGACTTCCTTGTGAACTCGAACTGCTGACCTTAGCAGTCTGCATATAGTATTAGAGCAGTGGTTCTCAACCTTCCTAATGCGG